ATGTTCGCAACAGATCCTTTTCAATCTGTTTAGCCATAGCAGTAGTACTATCACTTCCACTCGCTTTCACAATTTGCTGCAAAATAAATATATGTGGATATTGGATATTTTCCAACACTGACTCCTGGATTTTGAAATTATATTTGATTTTGATCTACACAATGGACAATTCCAGCTGTCGACTAATTTTTGATCTAGACAAGAAAGACGAAATATATCATTATAGCTCAAAAGAGCATCCTAAAATTAGTAAAATTACTAAGTTTGGTACTTTGGTTGCGAAATGTTATAAAATATGGAAAATATAGCCCTGTGAAATTAGCAAGTTTTGAGTATTTTAGTAATAGTATTACGCGCGGTAAAAATGCACCATTTTTGAGCCGAAAGTGGTTATTTTTACCTCGCGTAATACTAAATTTCACAGGGCTGTATTTTCTGTATTTTACAACATTTCGCAACCAAACTTTGCAATTTTACTAATTTTAGGATGCTCTTTTGAGCTATACTGATACATTTCGTCTTTCTTGTCTAGACAAAAAAATTAGTCGATAGCTGAAATTGTCTATTAGAAGAACGAAATCCATTACCATAGCTGGAAAGAGCACTTGCGAATTGTTGTAAAATGAGGAAAATATAATCTTGTGAAGTTCGCAAATTCTGTATATATTTGAATTACGCGCGGGAAAAATAACCATTTTTGAGTCGAAAGTGGTTATTTTTACCACGCATAATACAAATATATACAAAATTTGCGAACTTCACAGGGCTATATATTTTCTTCATTTTACAACATTTAGCAACCAATCTTTGCAGTTTTTCACATTCTAAGATGCTCTTTCTAGCTATGCTATTGGATTTCATTCTTCTAATTACCTTGATCAAAATTTAGTCTATAGCTGGAATCAGCCATTAATTGGACAGTCAGTGGTGTATACAATTACACATTTTAATTATTAACCTTGTATGAAAAATCCATCGACTCTTTTTTATGTAAAGCACCTGACGTTCTCATCCAAATCTAAAAAGGAATTACACAGCAGTTAGTGCAGAGCTGGGGAACATCGCGGTCAATTGAGGTTGTGCATGCACTTACCGGAGCTCTCATGCTATGAGGAATACCGGCATAAACAAGTTCCCTGAGCTTGTCTGTTCTTGATAGTGTGGAGGAGACCTAGAGGAAGAAATATTATTAGAACATCCACTAATGTAATGGGACTCAGCCTAGAGGCTGCAAAATGACAGATTGTAACTGCCAATATAGCTGGCTGAATCTTGCATGTGTAAGAGTTTACTAACTTTATCCCAAGTAAGTTCACCAAGTTCCTGGTTTTGTGTGAACTCCAGATGAGCTTGCCACTTTAGTTTTTGACTCGGATCTTCATCAGTTATGAAATGACTTGATTCCGAACTTTCATCTTCTGCTGCAGAAAAAACGATAATAATTATATTCTGACCTGACATATGAATATACATGTCCATTTCGCCATTAAACTCAACAAACTTGTACATAATTTCTGCATATTTTACATACTTGATTCCACAGTAAATCCAAATTCATCATACTCTCCCCCAGGACTCACACCAGCATCTTCAGTCTACAAATTAAATAACATTTATTATATACCCTTGATCTCAGACTAATCCATTTTTAAAACCAATTAATAACCCATTAGGATACCTGCACGTGAGCTAATAATTACACTAACTTATTATTAAATTTTACTCTGTCTAACACCAGACAATTTTACTCATCAGGAGAGCACTGCCACTCAAAGGGTTAATATAGGATTTACAGTAAGCCCCTTGTTAGGAGGATAATTAACATAACATTTGAATGATTACACTTTGTGAGGAGTACGTCTAATACATACAAACAGACTCTGTTTTGACTTCAGCCACTAAAGTTTATATCGCAGTACCTGTTGAATTCTAGCTAATATATCTTGAGGCCAGATACTTGGTGTAAGAGCCGAGAAAGGAGCACCAGCTGGAGGAACAAATGAACCACAGACTGGACTGTCTGCAGCATTGATCGTCATGTCATCCCATAACAGATCATCATCTACTGCACTGTCATCACCTTCGCTGCCCGATGCTGCTTTTCAAAGAAATGCAATGCAATTAGTCACTTGTAAACTATATATACATTAATTATCTTAACTGGATATATTAGCTCTATCAGTTTTAAACTGTCCTAACTCCCTATTGATCCAGTAAGAGTAATCTGTTATCGACAGACCTGACACTCCAGATCAAGTGGCAGAAATTGTGAGTTTTATTTTACAAAGTCGTTTGAACTTCACATGAACCAATCTTTTCTACTATTTGACATAGGAAAATTAAATTTCTATTGATGGGTTTTTGAATGTAAAAACTAAACTCTTAACATTATTGGTTATTATATATTTCCCATACAAGAATTTTATACGAAAACTAGTATGCAAAATCTTACGTCAACATCGGTTAAACGTATGTCAACTTAGTACAAAGAGTACGACCTTGTACGGCATTTCTAATTTATTTACTTTGCCATCATGCTTATACATTCATTGGCTGGGAAACCATGCACTGAACAGCTATTGCTGTGTATTGCAGGAATCAAAATAGGCAAAATTAAGGTACACATATACTAACCACAGACAGTACCACAACCCAACCATAACTCATGACTTGCCAAAGTCAAAACATATACATTGCACATTGCAATTTGTCAACCTTTCATGTTTCAGTAAACATCACTATTTTATAGCATATATTCATCTGCCAGATAGTTTGTTTAATTAACCATATAAAACACAGCTTGAGTTCAATCTTCAACCTTGCCATTTAATTGTTACAATAGACAAAATTTATAACATTTTTCTTGTAAAGAAGTCAGATTTTGGGACTAAATTTGCAGTGTTATTTACTGAATACTGCAAAATACTAAGTTCGCATTGAGTACTCTTACATTCCATAGACATATCATAAAACGCTTTTGAATACCAAAATTTTAATAATTAATTTTAAACCACGAAATCAAAATATAGCCCTGGCTAAATATTGTTACTGTACAATTTTAACTTTTGCTCGAGAATTTTAAAACTTAACGGTAAAACAACAAAAGAGCTTGTATTTTCAACACAAAATAACACCAAAAACATAGAAAAAAGCTTTGTTTTATTGGCCATAACGAGGTCAAAGACTTATCGGCAAAAATCGAATTTAATGCTTCTTTTTATATTAATACCTAACCTACAAATTTAAAGTGATCATATTTCAAATTTCAAATAAACAGCGCGGCAATTGGGTTAACTATAAAAGGAAGACATATTTAACTTCTGTTTAAATGTAGTTTGAAAGAATGCAAAGAAATTATTTAATAAGTAATGGGGTTTAATATTTGCACACGTAGCCAAACGCCATTTGACAGGCTCGCAAAATTAACAAGCGTAACAAAACTGGTTTAGAAGTCGACGTGTAAGCACAACAAGAAGCCAAAACTATACCTTTGGTATTCTTCTTGCTGGTAGCCGTCTTCTTGTGTCTCTCAAAAGCGAATGCACTCGTAGGAAGGTACATTCTTGGCCGAAAATCTTGCTATCTTCTGCGATCAATGATCATCTTTGCAAGCGTAGGTTGTGGGTTTTATACCCGGTACTAGGTAGCAAATGCCGGTATTACGAGCAAAATGTTGTGCGACGGCGCAGTTGGGGCCAAAAGACCGAGTGGCACACTTTTGGTGGTTTAAATCGCTAGACTGGTTTAAATAAATGAATTCAATCCCCGAACAAATTACATTCATAACCCAATGTTTCAACACTCCGATGTAGTAAAATATATATTCAAGGGATGACCCGTCATCCCTATTCAAAGTATGATTCATATCAACCTCGTACCCAGAGTTCTCTTTGTGCTATCAAAATGCCACGCTTCTAGGCAGTGTCTTTGACCATAACGAATCTTTAGTCAGTGATAATGATCGTACGAGTTCCGCATGCATCATATTGGCAAATATTGCACTCATTCCCCAGGGACCAACTCAACAGAAGCCGCCATGGAGCGCTGCACCTTCCTTTGGCCTCAAAGTGACAAAACGCAACAAAGCAACGGTTTTACTAACACTAACCCTATTACAAACAGAAACTCTAACCGTAATCCTAACCCCAGACCTAACCCTAACCTAACCCTACTCCAAGTTTGTTTCTAAACCAATCTTGAAGAAAACATTTTTGACGAAATGTCATTCTGAGGTCAGTGAAATAACTTTTTCCAATAATAACTTTTCCCAATAAAGCCTGATCTCCATATATTGGTCGTTATAATGGTCGTCAAAATAGAGTCACGATCTTTCTCAACGGCCAGTTTATATTAAGACTTATAACAGTTTATACCTGTAAACCACATATAAATCATAAGTATTCCCTAGTCAGTATAATCACTCCGCGTATTTTCAGTTCTAAAATGTTGTATTTCGGCTGATGAGAAAGATCGTGACTCAATCTTTACGACCGTTACGACCCTATGGAAACTAGGCTTAAATGTATATAAATTTCCATATTAAGACCCCGTTGAACCATGTCAATGTGCTCGAAACTAATGCAAAAGTCACCTACTCATTGTTCGAGTCTATTTGCATATAGGTTTCAAATATAGGTCAGTTCACTGGTTCGCCACATGAAGAGATCGACGTCAGTTTCAACTAGATCTATCTAAGTCACTTGAAGCAGAACCTCGAATTTTTCGTAGCCAAAAAAGACGAAAACTCCGGCAGAAATCCGGTCAATGAGCGTTCTCAGCATATTTGTTTCGATACGCATTCCGACGATATGAACGATAAATCATCTGAGAAATTTCATTATTTTAAATAATTAAGGTGTCCTAGCAACATTGCAACTAATTTGACCAGCCAAAAAGGAATACTGTTGTGACCACATGCTGACATTGCTAGTTAGTATCATTTCACTTGCTTTTCCGCATTCGTATAGACTAGAAACACTCATATAAGCAAAGCTGTTATGATGGCATATTCAAACGGCTTTTTTGCAAACTACCCTATAATTGAATCTAAAGAACCACTGAACGGACCAAAAAATGTTTTTGCAGAGCCATGGAATCGAAGCGATGTTACTTTGGCTATAGAAAACTACACATTTCACGTCCACAAAAGTATTTTGACCATGCAATCACCTGTGTTTGAGGCGATGCTGAATGGTCATTTCAAAGAAGCTTGGCAAAGCAGAATTACCTTGGAAAACAAAACGTACAAGCCCATGGTTGAGTTGCTGAAGCTTTTCTATCCCCCCAACATGATCGAAGGCGAAAAGGTTGTTATTTGCGACGAAAACGTCATGCCAATTCTGGAACTAGCGGACGAGTTTCAGGCAGTCAATGTAATCAAGCAATGTATTGATGACTTTATTAACAGCGACCAGGTTACTTCGCAAAACGTCTTAAGAATTTTGCCGTATGCTTTTCGTTATTACGAGTCAGCTATACCGAAGCTATCTGAAGTGGTTAATCGTAGTGTGTCAGTAACACGCCTGAAAGAATTCCACTCAAAAATGACAGACGAAAAGGATGCGGGTAAAAGCACTCACATGATATGGGGTAAGTTCTTCCACCTGGAAAAAGTTGCAGGAAAAAGTTACGACGTCATAACTTCAGTCTTTGATCATTTCGTTCGGCAAATGCCGTTCCGGCTCCAAGTAGCAGATTCCCGGCTCCAAATAGTAGATCTCTTCAACCCAATCTGTGAAGGTTGTGGCAGGCGAATTGCCAGTGTCAATTTGAACTCATTTGCCGGAATGAAGGGATGCAAGAAATGTTTGCAAAGATGGAAAGATAGGTTTTACTCTGATATCCCACAGAATGTAAGAGAAATGTTATGGGAACTACTGTTACAAGTTGAAGACATTTCAACTGCTTCTAAAGAACAGTCACAATAAACGAAATACTTTATGCTGTTTATAATAAAACATTCTAAAACAATTTTGAACTAATATTTTTGACAGAAATAGGGACTTATCAATTCTAGACTGATTCGTGTTAAGTAGGGTTTTGTCATAACTATAGTCATTCATTCAACTAGTTTTGTGATAACTAGTAATAATTATTTATCTTAAATAGCCATAAACTGTACTAGTTATGCATGAATGTTTAAGTGACGTCAACGTTTTAATTTAACTGTGCACATTGCGATTGTCGGGCTGATTTTTGTATTCACTTTTAACTTTTAAGCCCATGTCAAACAAGCATGAGAATTGATGACAATGGACCATTTGCATTATACACTAAATTTTGATCTAAACAAGTCTAGACAAAAATTTCATCACAGCTTGAATGAGCATCACAAAATTAGTATTCCAAAGTTTCGTTGCGAAATGTTGTAAAATGCGGATAATATAGCCTTGCGAAGTTTGCCGTTTTTCAGTCATTTTGTATTACAAACGGAAATTGACAGCCCCGAAGGGTATTGGGCTGTCAATTTCCCCCACGTAATGCAAAATGACTGAAAAACGGCAAACTTCGCAAGGCTATATTATCCGTATTTTACATTTCGTAACGAAACTTTGGAATATTACTAATTTTGTGATGCTCTTTCAAGCTGTGATAAAATTTTTGTCTAGACTTGTTGAGATCAAAATTTAATCTACAGGGTGTATAAAAAAAAGGAGACCTTTAGAAATCAAGCATATTGTTAAAATTTGAATGCCATTTCAATTGCACATATGCTGAACTGTGGTGCGTGAAATATTGATGGAGTGCATATATTAGAAAAAGGAGACCTTTAGAAATCAACCATTGTTATAATTTGAATCCTGGAGCACTTTGCTAAGCACATAGCAGATTGATCCCAGGAGCAGAAAATCTTTAGTTTAAACCTTATTTCAAATTCTAAAGGTCTCCTTTTTCTAATATATGTATCCATCAATATTTCACGCACTAAGGTTCAGCATATGTGCAATTGAAAAGGCATTCAAATTTTAACAATATGCTTGATTTCTAAAGGTCTCCTTTTTTTGATACACCCTGTATAATGCAAATGACGACTGCCAACTCTCATTGACTCTCTTTGCTTCGCATTAACTGGTTCAAATATTGATCGAGTGTTTTCCAATCAAAGTCAGGAACTCTCATGCAACTCTCGTTAATTTAACCGGGGCATGAGAGTTGAGAGAACTCTCATGCAAACTCTCGCTTCTCAACTCTTGTTTTCATTTGACCGATCAGGATTTATGTTCCCTGAATAGCAGTATTGAGCCATGGAGTAATTATATACAGAGGTCTCACTTCAGGTGAGGGATTTCCAGTCCACCATGTTCTTAGCAAGTGCCTCCTAAAGAGACTCCAGTAACTCCAGACGAAGGGCCTTCGCCCAAATTCTCCTTATATATTTTCAGGTGGTTGCATCCCTACCAATGAAAGCTTGCCCTAAAGAGAAGGCATCACCCCCTGAAAACATATTGAAATTTAATGTTCCAGGGGGGTGTTAATGCATTTTGAAGACCAAAATAAACTTGACCTATATAAAGCCCCATTCAAACAAGCATTAGAAATGTAGCCTGCATTTGACCACTGATTCTGGACAACCAACAAGCAACACTCACACAAACTCCCATTTTTCATCAATCCTCACCTTTGTTTAATTGACAGAGGCTTTAATTCATAAACAGTAGTCATAGTTGGCAGCTGGTTTCATTCCTCTGTGAATAATAACACCTTAATTAAAACATAAACAGAGAAATAAATTTTGAAAATAAACATATAATTATCAACATATAAAATATAATTTAATGTTTATAAATAGGTTCCTCCAAACATCAATTTGTTTTCTTATTTCTTCAGTATTTCACTATGGCCAGCAGTTTGTTGGTTGCTCTGTAAAACTGGGCTCTCTTGCATTTCATTAAATTCAAATATTTTCTGTTCAGCTTCACTTTCTTCACGAATAAATCCGTAATAAATTATGAACGAGAATAAACCAAAACAAATTATCAATGTCCTGTATGAGTTTAGTTTACTCGAGTCATACTTTAGAGTATCGTTGACTTTGTGATGTCGTGCTGGTGATTTTGAATAAGCTATTGGCTCATCTTTTCTGATTTGGTCATTCTTGGTAGAGTTAGTCCTAATTTGTCCCTGAAATGCTGTGATTTTCCCATTAATTGTACAATTTCTAAAAAAGGAATTAAATGTGCACATAAATAATTTAATTACACACATAATATATGCTAACCAGGCTGCTGAGAGGTTGCACATGGGGTCCGGGGCAAAACTTTCCCAGGGGGCTCCTAGGATATCATATAATTGTAAAACAGGTGTTTACAATATATTACACTTTATTGCACATTGTCGTTTTCTAGGATTCATTTTCTCAGTTAATTGATCTTGTATCAAGGAATTTTAACATTGTTAAAAACGGCTCTTTGATCTCTTTGTTTCAAACAAAGAAAACAAATTCAAAAGGTCATGATAACCCAGTTTTAAGCTGGGAGCCCGGGGCAGAGTACCTTCCTAATTATTCATAAAATATACATGATAATAATTTGCCTAAAAGCTAAAAAACACTCAGATAAAAACCATGAGGTATTTCTAACATTACCTGCATAAAAATAAACCGCTACTCCTCCCGACAAACGAAGTTTCGCTGACTTTTCTTAAGAGAAAACCCGTCACTCTTCTGAAAGTCGCCATCTTGAACGCGCAAAACGAAATCTGAGAGACTGGTAACTAACTCTGTGTTTCCAAAAAATCATTTTGCAAAAATTTCCTCCAAATTTCCTTTAAAAAAGACATTTCATTTCGTTAATTTTCGCATTATTTTTAATATTTTTGAATTTCGATATAAATTGCTTTTAAAAACATTTGTTCTACTTTGTCTGACTGGAAATTTCTTTAGAAAATTCCAGAATTTTTTAACAATGATTTTCTGTAAAGACTAAAAATTAAGAGCATATTATAGCAAGATGTCATAAACAAAAAGCTCATCAAGATTTCTAGTACGCCCAATGCCCTAATTTAACTTAGAATTAGCAGATTTTATTTGAACAAAAATGAGAAACAAAAATTATAACACGATTCCTATACAACCTAGCCTGCATGGCAGGCGGTACGTAGGAAATACCGCCTGCCGCAAAACTGGGTGTAAATGAACTACCGCCCCTGAAGCATCAACGCTATTTATAGATGCATTAATTAAGTAAATATTCAAAATTAGCCACTCCCAAGCTGCTCCAAAGTCCCAACTGCCCAACCAGTGCTTCCATTTTCAAGGAAATTTCCTTTTCTAAAGAAATTCTAGTGTCGAAAAGGAAAATCTAAGGAAGAGAAAAAATCTAAGGAAATCTAAGGATTTTTTCCCAACAACTTAAATATTCATCCAAGTGCATTAGTGCAGAAGAATGTTTCGCTATTTCTTGAATTTTTGAGTGAATTATCAATTATGTTCAATTAAAAATCTGGTTTTAACTTTTTCCTCGTGTTTCCGAAAACTTCCGAAAGTTTTTGAGCGACAGGATTTGGTATCTTTTGGCGCCAAACGGTGTGAATTAATTATTTATATCAATGGAAAGGTATATGTTGTAAACTCACTGAACAAATATTTAATTTTAAACAGTATAATAGCCTGTGGTTTTTTAGCTAGCAATTATCTTTGTTAATTGTGCTATTTTGTGCCTTTAAAATTGATTAAATCCTTTGTATTGCTACAAAAGCACTGCAAACCGCCTAATGAAATTTCAAGGAATTTTCAAGGAAATAACGTATACAATCTAAGGAATTTAGAGAAATTTTGATGACAAAAATGAGAAATTTTGATTTTGAAAATGGAAGCACTGTGCCCAACATAAAATAAATTCCTTGATTCTCATCACCGCCCGACTGAATTTTAAAATCCTCGTGAAAACGTTTTATTTTTAGTTACACAATATAAATGTACCGCCCGACAAAATAATTCAAGACAGTTAATTTTTTCATATTTTATATAGAGTTTTTATTGCCATTTTAAACTTCCAATTTGAAACAAACAGAATTTTGAGTGAAATTTCATTGTATTTTAAAGAAACCCAGTCATTCTGTCATTGTTCGTGGAGATACGAACTATTGATATATAAATTATATAAATTATATAAATATAAAAAATAAATCTCCCACTGTCTTCGACATTTCAAAGTGTAGACTGTGTCTAGTGATGAGAATCAAGGAATTTATTTTATGTGTTAATATAAACCAAGCCCGTTTAGCCGTTTAGCTGCCTTAAAACGGTGGTTTAATAAGCTCAAAATACAAAGCATGCAAGTCTATACTATAGATTCATCATCAGTCAACAACCAAACTAAAAGTATTGAACCTTATAGAACGATAGTTTTTATTTGTTTACAACTATACATATTCAACGGGTATATAAGAGTTTAACAGTTATTTGATAATTACTGCATCAACCGGCCCCCTGTTTATACTTTGGAGGTTCGTATATAATATCTATCAAGTATCTTTGGTTCAGAACATGACTGATAGGCCTATATGGAAATCCCACTGTTCGATTCAGTGAAGAAATATCTCCTAATTTCTATCGATAGTTTTAGTAAAATGTCAACATTATGGCGATTTATGGCCTTTGAAAGTCAAGCGAGATAGTATATTATCAAATTAATACGCATGTAATGCACCTATCAATGTTTTCCCCCTGAGAGGGGGGTGCGGGCAACCCAGGGGAATTTTGACATTTTTAAAATTTTGTAGTCAAAATCCCCACTGTTGGGCAAGGAACGGCTGTCAAAATTCCCCAGTACATTCCTAAGATAACAAGGCACACATATGTTTTCCAATGCGAACATACAGTCTATACTGGTTTAAACTTGGTAAAAATTGAGACACAGTGTATAAAATATCTTTTCCGATGAAACTTGGTCTTGCTTCTCTGCCATACTTGTTACCAGGCAAAACCGCGCAAACTTTCAAGATGGCGGATGTCAAAATTTCCCGACTCTGGGAGTTGATGCATAGGTCAAATTCCCCTCACTGGAGCTTCATAGTGTTGTCAAAGTCCCCTGGGTCGCCCGCACTCCCCCCTCAGGGGGAAAACAATGATAGGTGCATTACTTGTAACGATAATCAGAATTGATGAGAAAATATGGAGTCTTTCTGTATGTTTATAGTGATCTGATCTCACTGTTCATTATAAGGCTGAAGTAGTTTGAAACTCGTGTGCAAATAAATCCAGTATATATGTACAGTACGTACCTTGATATACAGTACAATCAATCAATATCATTTTATATTCCAGGCAACACTATCAGTGTTTATTCAGTGATATATACGAGGGTTGCCAAAGCGAACAAAACAATGTCACAAATATGAGCGCCATACTCCGACAAATTGATACAATATGATGATGAATGTTGCATAGTTTTGTGTACATGTGTGTTCACAGCTTATATCTGAAGTATTTTTCGTAAAATTTATTAAAACTTTGAGAATAAATACATAAACAATCAACAAAACATGTATATTTTTAAACAAGAAAATCGTAAGCGCCAGCGCTAATTGTAGTCAGCACCATAACGTTGTCGTTACTGCGCATGCGATAAATCTCCAAGAATCTTGGAGATTTCATCGTATTTTACCAGGGTCTTCCTCAGCTCACGCGCCACCACGAGGAAGACCCTGGGGACGAGGTTGGACTAGTACATGAAAAAATTTTTTTTGAAACAAATTATTTTTGGCGACCTCCCCCCGTCGCCAAATAAATTTCGGTCAGTGTACCATTTTAGGGGCACAAAATTTTTTCCGAACATATCAAAATTTTTCGGGACATCACAAATTTTCTCCATTTATCAATAAAATTTTTCTAAAATTCCGAAAATTTCTAGAATATTCGAAATTTTTGTAAATATACCTCGTTTCTTTCCAAATTCATAGTTATTTTTGTCAATTAACTTTCTCTTGTCCTAGGAATTACCCGAATTTCTTCTGCAAATCTACCTGAATTTACCTGAAATTGGCTACGGCCCTGCAACCGACTGACGAACAGGGACGCCGAGAGGTTGACGAGACCAACAACCTCTATCTTGCCCTTTTCGCGAAAATATTTAACCCAATTAGCAGTCCTACCGACTGAATAGCAGTCCTGCCGACTGATTAAAATTTCTGGGGGGTGTCACCCCCCCCCACACCCCCCGTATCTCCGGTCTTGGAAATAGTATTGTAGTATTTTAACCTTAAAACCCAACTATGCTAAGTAAAACTCCCTAGTTAATACAGGGTCGGCACTAGATCATAGACAAGATACGCACATATCTGAAACTGCAATACATACGAGTCAGCGGTATTTCAAGAGCAGTAAACTTTATATAAACGCAATAAAGACATCATTATTACAAATGATGCATTACAAATAAACAAATCATTACAAATGGAGATTTAAAAATTGTTATATCGATAAATAGGTATGTGTAAATCGAAATATATATTTACTTTTATTACCTATTTGGGGTTAATTTAAAAATCATTTTAAAGGGAATTTTCCAAGGGAAAAATATAGCCCACATGTGGCATACAGGCATAGTATTTAATAAATATTGGTGACATATTCATAGGAAAACACATGCTGGTCAACTTTGCACGTTTGTCGCTTTTATATATGCCTTGTGGAAGCGAGCAAATTTTTGTTAAATGTTCTGTATTTGCTATTGATTATTGAATACAAGGTGAATAATTAATATAATGAATTATGAATAATGAACTCAATCCAATAACTGTGTCTGTGTTTCCCTTTGGAGTTGACCACCGCCCATTTTAATTAAGGGGTGTCTGCTAGAATTCCCCTGCAAAAGCCGATGATGCCCTGCAGCAAATTTTTTTTGGGCCACTCTTTTTTCCAAAAATGTTGGCGAGTCGGCCTGCCAATCCAGACGACGAGTAATTAATCGTCTGGCATTGGACAGAGTAAATACTAAGTAGGGCACATTTGGGCACTTTCACATTTCCAGTTAATGAGTTAATATTAACAACATTAAAAACAGACTAGGATGCCAAAGGCTAGTTGGATGCTTCTTTGCCTGCAACAAACCATAAAGTGGGACTGCCACATGATCAATGTTAGATTTCAGCAATGAAGAGAAAACACATGGGACTTGACCTGGGTGGCGATACATTGGCATTCACCCAGGTCTTGGCATCATCACAATACATCTCACATCATAAACGCACCCGGGTTATGCCTGTGCGATTTTCACAAAAACAATCAATCGAGTCATACACGTCACAGTTTTACTATTCATGTCTCATTTTAGCTTGAATGTTCAGACTTATGTATCACTTATATTTCATATCATTTTACAACTCATATATCACCAGTATCATCACTTTATATCTATGTTATAAATCAAGCTTCACCAACATCATCACAGTCCATGCATCATCATAACATAATTCACTAAAATCATCATTATCTATACCATTCCAATTCTATCAGTCACATTGAATCGAAATTTCATTTCACTCCACCCATCATTTGATGTTCACCCAATAAAATGTCCCAACAGGTCAGCAGGGCCATTTCGCAGCATTCCAGGATCTGAATACCTGCAACCACCTTTTTGATCCAATTCCAAAAGAAAAACAAACAAAAATTTTTTTTGGGCCACTCTTTTTTCCAAAAATGTTGGCGAGTCGGCCTGCCAATCCAGACGACGAGTAATTAATCGTCTGGCATTAGACAGAGTAAATACTAAGTAGGGCACATTTGGGCACTTTCACATTTCCAGTTAATGAGTTAATATTAAC